AGTGAGTAAATGTCATTTAAATTTCTCATGCCATCCCGCTCGTCAACAGCGTATGTGTGGCATTCCAATTTCTTTTCGCCTGTATCGCACATATCCTTTCACAATCCCCAGGACCGCTCGCAATAAAATATTTAGCAGGAGGGGGCGGATGGGGTGAAAGGAGATGGTTACACCGAGCAAAAAGTATCTTAAAGTAATCGAAAATGGAATATATATAGGTTATTTATTATCTTAATTATATTGGAAATATTGTAAAATAATATCAGATTATGTTATTTATCGAGTGATAAAATTCTACGAAATTAGATAAACTAAGAACCTCAACTTACTAACTTAGTTCTTAGTAATCCCTAGCCCATTAACTATCAAAACTTAATCCTCAAACCCATTATAGATACCTTCAATTTCTCTCTGTGTAACACCTCGTTACCTCCCATTTGTGTGTTGTTTTTCGTGAGTTTTTCCTTTGGTTCTCCCACCCGGATACCGAATGCTATGCCCCCCTCTAGGATCTTGTCGTATGTCACCGGCAACTTGACTGAGTTGTTAGTTTCACTGTATTCGTTGTCTCTGTTGTTGCCGCTATTCCATCACATCATAAAAACGTGTGTGCCATAGCTATATAGCTTTTCCTTCTGGGTCTTGGTTGTAGTCGCTGCTTGTTTCAGGTTATTTATGTTTGCCATGTTGCGTTTGTCAAGTTTTTGCATTTTGAAACAGACGCGCTTGAAAGCATTATGACTTAATTCTTATATGGCGCCCAGACATGATATGGATGCATAATCCAAAAAGGGACACCTCGGATACCTTTAAGCCAACATCAAACCCAAACTTAAAAGGAACTTGAAGAACCTATTTGCCTGGCAAAAATTCAATTGCTGTCAATTGTGTTGCTGCGGCAGAGTCAGCCTCCGTTTGCTAATTGAATCAAACTTAATTAAAAATGTCTTGACATGGCATAAATCTCGGGGGAGGTGTTGCCCACCTGTACAGGTAAATAGCTGAGGGGGAGACAGCCATATGCCAGCAGCTGTTTTGCTTTCGGGCTGCCTCAACTATTTATTTGCACAAAAAATATAGCAAATGTCAAATGTGTGTTTACACAGACCGAGAACACACATATACACTCGCTTCTGCTCCTGCTCCTTGGCTCTGAGCTGCCTTAAAGAAACAACAAAGAAAATTGCTTTAGTAAATCCAAACGAAAATAAACACAAAACACAACTTGAGTAGGAAAGCAAACAGAACCCAGAAAAGGTGCGCCCAGGTGGGTTTTCTAGGGGTGGCAGGAACTTCGAGTGGAGGTGGTGGTGTGGCATCCACATTTGCAAAAGTCAAAAAGGGTTAAGGCAGCTCTCTCCAAGTGTTTATTATGCGGGGGTGCGAATGAGCGGCTCCTCTCCTCTCCGCCTGGCTCCTTTATTCCTTACTCTTACGTGAGCGCTCTCATATTGCGCTGCCTTATGTATGACACTTAAACATGCAAAGCTGCTTGCCAAGATGATTTATATTAGCCATGATTTCTAGCAATTTTTAGCACTTTGCGTACACCCCGTTCCTGCCGAGCGTCGGCGGAGGTGTTGATTGTTGTTGAAATCTGCGACGGGGAACAAAAAAAGGACTAAGGACGAGAGAGACACGAAATGCGAAGCACTCGTATGGGTCCCTTTCGTTGTGACATATTTCGGGCCATGATAATAAAAACTTATTTGGTTCCCATACTCCTTCAAAGTGATTACACAGCTCGGATGTTGTACGAAGCACTCAAGAAGCGAAAAAGCTGACAGGAATATCCACCACAAAGTATGTAAATATCTTACAAGAATGAAGGAAGATTACTCTTAGGCAAGACCTTCTGAGGTGGAAACTAAAAGGAACCTTATAGAATTTCATACAAAATTTAACAATGAATAAATTTCCGTATCAAATTAATATCGATTAATTTGCACTTGCAACAATTATATTTCCATTCACTTTCTTACACCAAATACCCTTACATGTCCTGAAATTAATTGTCATGGCTTGCATTTAATCCCACAAAAATTGCAGGACTCCGAGTACAATGTCCTGAAGCACTCATAACTGTGGATAAATGCGAGTCAAATGTTGACCAACTTTTGCGCGTGCGAGAATGGCAGTAAAAACAATTACTGGCCACAAAGCAAAGTCATCGTGGGCCACGCTACGTATACGTAATGCGAGCAGGGAAAGGAAGATAGAGGGAAGGGTCCTGCATAGTCACACACAAATACACGGACACACTTGGGCTATCAAATTAAGTAATTGCATAATTGTTTCACTAGCATTTTACTATGCCCACGGGTGGCCAATGTGACGAAGACACACCATCGCATAGATGTGTGTGTGTATTATACTTCCTCCCCCAAAAAAAAAGGCAGCCCAACGCCCACTCCTCCTTGGCTTTTTATGTGCTCTGCTCCAAGTTTCTTTTATTTGCCTTTTGGTCGATGGGCTAATCCCCGCCCTATGCCCTCTGCTACGTGCCTGTCTTTGAGTTTCCGTAGCTCTGAAATCCACTCCACTTTCGTCTCCGCCTCTCGTCCCTCATAAATCAGCGTCAAATCGCCGAGGACTTAGTCCTCTGCAGGCCCGGGCCACCGTAGTTTCTAATTGTTTTGTTATAGACACACATCCGTGCGGTTCCGCGGCCCCCATCGAATGCCGAATGCAAAATGCAAATGCCTGCTCCGACCGCAAATGTTGTAAATGCCAGCCGCACCTGCCAGCCCTCGGGCCCATCCCATCAGCGGCTAACTTGAGTGGGACACACAGGCGATTGCACCTGTAGACAGTGGGGCACGATATTGGAAGAGGTTTGGAATTATAGGAAATATATTAAGAAGGAAGAGATTGCCACAAAGAAAGCTTCTCAATAAGTAACTAACAAACCCATTACTCCCATTATGAACATAGGGAAATAAGTATGCATCTTTAAGTCAAAATATATACTAATTGAGCTCAGTAGGTTCCTATTTCTGACCCTTAGCTTAACATTTTTGCCCACTGTGCTGCGGTTGGGCAACTTTGTGGTGGTCACTGGAGCTGGCCAGCGTGCCTGGCGTGATAAGGCCAACAGAGCGGTCAAATATGGCGCTAACATTATTACCTCGGCCGAAGGATGTCTGTGTTTGCTGGTTGGAATCGGATCGAGCGTGTGAATGCGGCAAGGTAAGCTTGCAGGTGTATATGGTTTCACATACGGTTTCATGTGCAGCAGGAAAACCAAGGCAAACAATTATGAAATAGTTTTTTTTTTAGAAGGCCCTGCTCTGGATAGTTGTAAATCTCACAAAAGTAATGCCCTTTCTTTGCCGCATAAATCTCTCAATCAATTCCCCCCCAATTTCCAACAATCCTAGCCCTTTGTTTTGTGCTCTTCACAATGATTTTTCCAGACACTTTTTTACACCACACTTTTTTACTCCTTGGCCCTGTTTATTTATAAGCCATCCATATTGCACTTCAGTTTCGGCTGCAAGTCAAACATTTATCATTCCTAATTACTGGCACTAAGCTCTGATTGATCTACTTCTCGGTAGATGGAGGAGATGCTACCCCTTGGATCTGGTTTTTGGATTTATGGCCAATGGAGGCGAGGCAAAGAACAGCCCATTTGCTGCGCCTGGTTGCTAATTTTAATATTATTTTTGGAGATCTCATAAGTTGCCCTCTGCCTCGGGATTTTCCCCTTTCTTTATGTTTTTTCCTCTTTTTTTATACCCTTGCAGAGTATTATAATTTTAGTTAGGAGTTTGCAACGCAATAAAGGAGACCCTATAAAGTATATATATTCTTGAACATTATAAAGTATTGTTTTTATAACTTTATTAAAATTTGAAGACTATATTATTTAGCTGCTATAGGAATAATACTTAAATATAGAAGAAAATGCAAAATTGTGTCTCATTTTCTCTGTCTCTATTTATCTCTTTCACTCTCTCTCTCATACTCGCTCACCCTCACTGTCCCTTTCTCGCTTTCTCTCTTCCTCTTTATGCCCATCTCTCTCCCTCTGTGCAGCTCTAGAGATACCCCTTACTCTCTATCTCTCTCTGCCTATCTCTAGAGATCTCTATTTCTCTTTCGCTCTCACATTCTCTGCTCTCTTTACTCAGGGACTATAAATAGAGGCGCTACCGACGGGCTGGCCTCATTCTGTCCGTGGCGTCTCCAGCGTTTACATCTCTAGTGGTGGTGATAGTGATTGGACTTCGACTCCAAAATTGTTACCTTACGAATGTAATACATCTTAATAACCAGGTTACAAAACCAAGTCTTGTAGAGTTTTAAAATTGTAAAAAATTTATCAATTTTGTTTAAACTAAATAATCTTGGATTAATTTATAATCGATTTTATATTCGAACTGCAAGAGTATACACGCTTTCGGATTCTCGAAGTTAGCTTCCTTTCTTGCCTTTCTTTTTTCTTTTTGCCCAGGCAACTCTTTGATGCCCCCGAACTGTTGATGTCTTTATTGCAGTTGTTATAGACTGCTGCTGCTCGCATTATGATTTCCACATCCACATCCACTTCCATTTTCATTTCGTTTTCAGTCACTAGCTCAGTGCTTTGGATCTTCATCGGATCGCTGGCATCTTCACGGGGCTTTGTCTGTCTATAATTGGACTTGTCCCGGACTTGTGGGGGGAAAATTTCATGTCCGGGCGCGGACTTTTAATCAAGATCAAGGGTGATAAATGAAAGCATCCACCATGGGAATCGAGGGGCTGTGGCATTCATTGAGGAGCTGCAATCGGAGAACTTCACTCGCCACAAATTTAATGCAATTCGACGTGCATTAATCACGATTTACAGATATATCCCCCAGCCCAGACCTTTAATTGGCAAAACCAATGACCCCTTAATGGTATTCTGATTTATTGTTATTTTTACCGCATGTAAATAAAAAATCTCTCTCTATTTATTCCATTTTGCAATTATCTATAAATAAGAGTGATTTTTTATAATGCTTTTGCATTTATTGTTCATTGTCTTTCAGAAATATATCGTCATAGGAAAAGTGATCAAAGAATCGCTGGGTTCTATTTACACCCATTCTACTAAGAGTTGGCATAAAGTTGGGCTCCAGTTCGTTCCAGAATTCTAGCCAGTGAGTGTTGAGCACTTTGTTTATGGCAATTGTCAGATCAGAGTTATCGGCAAAGAGGTTATCCACCACGAGGATCATGCGGTCCAGCTCCAGCTGAGACTCATAGCTATACAGCTTCAGGTGACGTTTCTCCTTACGAAACTCAATGTACACCTTGAATATGGTGGTGAAGCGGGCATTTTGCAGATCAAACTTTATGGAGCCAGTACCATTGGCCTTGAAGAATATTATTTTGGTCTGATAGTCGAAGGAGCCGTCGACTTCGATCCGTGGTATTCGGTACTTGAGCCTAATCATCTTCTTTGTGGGGTCTTTGTCGAATCCCTTGACTTCATAGACCGTGGCATTCTCCAGGCCTTTAAACACGGTATTCCTTAGGATGAAGGACATCCAAATGGGACGATCATGGGAGCAATTGTACACGGGAATATCGGGAAGGGGAAATTTATCAAAGGGCCGAAAACCCAGGTGAGGAATACCTCTGGCGAAGATCCGTATGTAGCTATTAAAGCTGTCAATCAGACAGGTTTCATTGCTAAAGTGACACTTTTGTATAAGAGAAGCTATGTAGCGGAAAATATAAATCATCTTTAATAATGAATGTAAATTTATATAAACTTAATACATAGGTTCAATATATCTCCCCTTTTGATAGCTACTTACGTAACTCCGATGACGTATAATTAGGTAATGCCTTCATGCCAGGCAGAAATATTAATATGATTATACAAAGTTGCATCTTGGACTATCTGTCAGCCACAACGGCAATAGTTATACTAAAAGTTAGTATAGACTCCCAGTCGACTTGAAAGCCCTCTCGTAATTCCCTTCAATTAGCATAACCCGATAGATTAGGCCGGCGGTGCATCCCCTTTATAATGCTTTATCGGCACTTTAGACGACGTCAAATCGGTGCTTTGATCATCAGTGTACTATATATAAAATATACACTCATTTTCAGATATTCCCTGACGCATTCCACACTCGAACGATGCAAAGGCCATAATAATGAGCAGGAATGCGAGAACTGAAATCAAAAACAATACTGCTGCTGCAACATAAACAAATGCGAGTATAAATCTTAGGGCTCTGAGCCGACAAAGAAAGCAAACACTTAGAAAAATAAAGAATATTTATAAAATATAAGCAATTATAGTAAATAATTGTGACAGAGTTTGTCTAGATAGTAAACTATATATTAAATTTAGCTTGCTAAATATCTTCCTAAGTATCACAAAGGTATATCAAATTCATCACTAGATTGTGCATACATTTTCTCCCTGTGTAGAACTCCGATTGTCAGTCATCGCCTTTTGCATTCCAATGCGTTTTTGAGCGTCTGAAGTGGATTCTAAGAAACTTTTGCAAATGTGCGTGGTGTTTTCTGCATATAAATTGCGAGGGCACAAAGAATTGTATATGTTATGTGCACATATGTCACTCCACAAAAGAAACAATGCCAAGACTGGGAACCGGGTACTGAGTACTGGGTACTGGGTACTGGGAACTCTGAAGGAAAAGGAGCCCCCTTGACAGGGGCTAATAGCTAAGGTCAACAATTAAACTCATTCTGTCCGTTTTCGAGTGACGCCCCATCCCCATCACTCTGGCTCGACTGTCTATCCGCGTGTCTGACAACTTGCAGAGCCATCTATTTGCAATGCATTAATTTTAGATTGCCCCGGAAAAACGACCCTCGACTGGCAGCAGAGAATCCAAATTCAAATTCAAATGCAAACCCAAAACTGAAACACAGGAAAAATCAATCGCCCGCACTGTCAATGTGCCCGCATTTCCCGTTCGCTTCGTTCCGGAGCTGCTCGTTTTCTATTTTCTTTTTTTCTTTTTGTTTCAGTCAGGCTCGGTTGGTATTTTCATTTCATTTGATTTTATTTTCGGGCACACGGAAAACAACAACAACATTTCACCTTCTCCAGGCAGGAATCGATGGCGCGCCAACTATGTAAATATTTGTCACGACCGCACGACAATATTTGTTCAGACTTTGATTCACTTTTTGTGACGGACTCGGGGTCCTCGATGGAGTTGTGTCAAAAATGACAGTAACTAACCGAGGTATTTAGGCATTATATTTATTTATAAATTGGAATGAGTAGTGACTAAAAGTCCCCTAGATGGCATTTAATTATTCAACATTTTCCATTGAGATTATTTTTTTAAAGGCGTAACTGTCAAACAATTAGCGTAAATGATGACAACTGTGATCTTAATTAATGAAGGAAAACATTGAACAGAACCTCTGAATTAAGAGTAAATATTCCAAATATTTAATAATTTACAAATCATTAGTGGGATTTTACTGGCATTGAGTTAAAAATACCTTTACAGATTTTAGAGATCACAGCGTTACCTCTGGATTTTTGTGCTGTAAATATATTAAAGTGCATCTAACATTCGGTGTACCCCCATAATACCTATTAATATTGTTTTCCTATGTCTTCATCTAGAGGAGCCCTAAGAGTATATCTGAAGACCCTCCCTTTTTGTTTGTTGTTTTGGCGCTGTCCCTCGTTGAAATGTGCATCTTGTCCCTTGTGCATTTCCGCCCGGAATGCATCATAAAAGTATTTTGAATTAACAGAAGTAAATCAGGCGGCAAGCATGCTGGAAATTGTTGGGTAAACAAATATTGACATCGCCATGCGAGCTGCTTATGGGATAAATATGAAATCTCCTCTTTCCTCCTCAACGCACTTGTCGGGAAAACCTGTCGTCCGTGACGAGTTTCAGTCCCAGAATCCATCAATGGCAATCCCAATGGAATTCAGACAGTAAAACCGCAATCATTGGCAATGCAATTATAAATAATTATTTAATTATCAGACTTTTCATTACTATTGTTTGATCGATGTATTCATAAATTATTTATATTTACAGAGATATAGTCTAAGAATCAAATTAAGCTAGATCTTTGGGGAAGTTTCTCATCTATTTACAGATACTTTTTGAAACATTTTCCAACTCAGAAGCTTCTCTCAAATTACTCTAAAGCTATTTCCAGCTGACTTAGCTAGTTTTTGTTTTTGAAAAGATTCCAAAATTTTGACAAAATGTTTTCGGAGACGCTGCGCCCCAAGACACAATTCATACCGAAATGCGATTGCCACAAGCCGGGTTTTCCGGACTGTGGGGATTTGAATGATAAAATGCGGGCCGAGTATCGTCGGTTGGACATCGATGATGTCACGGATAGTGTCATGAAGGTGATGCGAATTTGTGGCCTCAAGCCATGGGAAGTCAAGCTTGCGGCCAGTGTCATCAGAAGATCCTTTACGTACTTTGAGGAGATTGTGGAAAAGATTGACCGGGTGCCACGCAAGCGCTTTGGCAAGGAGAGTTTCCTCCATGGACTGGCCCATGTGGCGCATATGTCACGCATTGACGCACAGATGGCTTTTGCTATAACTAAGCGAGCCTTCAAGGTAGGTTTCTTAGAGAGGAAAACCTTTGCAGATGCAAGGATCCTTTTTCCCGCAGGCCTTCTACTACGGCACGGGCGTTGAAGGACGACGCTTTGCCTGCCTTCAGGCGAAACTGTTGCACGGAGAAGAGTGCATGTGGTTGCATGCTGCCCATCGCACGGCGGAGATTCATGCCGTTCTTGCCGGTCTGATGGACTCCGAGAAGCGGCTATTCGAGGAGCGAATAGAGTGTGTCTACAAGACTCTCGTTGATGTATTGAAGTCACGCATCCTCTGGGAGAACGATATGGTCTGCAGCTGCGGCCAGCTTTCGGCACCTCCCTCACGGACCATCAATATTGGGAAGGCCGTCTCGCAGGCCGACTCCGTCTACAGCGCCGAGATAGAGCTGCTCTACCACAAGGAGATGAAAGGCGTGAGCAGTGCCCCCTCAAGGTCCTCTCCAAGGACACCGACTGCGAATCAATCGAAGGATATAAGCACTGCGTCTTCGCGGCACAACCATGGCCTGAAAAAGGGCAACCAGACGTTGCCCATTAATCCGATTTCAGTGGAGCCGAGTGCCATCACTTCGTTGGACCATCCGCATTGCAAATGTCCCAAGCTTCGGTGTTGGCAGGAGAACGGGGAGTCCAGGGAGGCACCGGAAATTACGGCAGAGTGCAGCCAGGGTCCATACATCTGCCGATGGCTACCCTACGACGGCGAGGAGGATCAGGGAACCGAGCATCGCGTTCCCTATCCGCCAATGGACGACATCTGTCCGCCCTGCCCCTCGGACGATATTCCCTGCGATCCGGAGTGTACCTGCACCTGCGATGTCTGCACCTGCCGACCGGCCTACGACGACGACTTCGAGGAGGAGCATTTGGGTGAGAAGCTGTCCAAGAGCGGAATTGAGGACCATGATACAGACTTTTGTTGGGTGGGACCATTCCATGGCAGTAGTGTCGAGCGGTTGGCTCGGAAGAGGGCCAGGGAAGAGATGCTCAGGGCGGAGGCTGAGTTTGAGGAGGAACAGGAGGAGGAAGAGTTCCCATGCGACTGCACCTGTGAGATCAAGCAGCGGGCCTTCCCGCATCTCTTCACCTATCTGACGGACTTCAAGGACAAGCAACGGGTCGTGGAGGAGCCCAAGCCAGAGCTGGAGACGCAGCCAAAGGTGGAGGACACAGAGAGCGAGGACCTACTCTCCAAGCCTCCGCCCTATGGCGTCACCCTGGACACCTACCGATGCTGGGTTAAGCCCACCTCCTCGGAAAGCGAGTCCAAAGAGTCAGATGAGGAAAAAAAGAAGCCTCCTCTCGTGTGGGTCCTGGCAAATAAACCCAAACCCAAGCCCGATATCCAGATCACCATTAAGAAACAGCATGTAGAGAACACCCAGGTAGCACCTCCTCCAGTAGCTGCACCTCTGCCCAAGGCTCCTGTTCTGCCCACCAAACCCGCTCCCACTCCTGCGCCTAGTAAGCCCCCTCTGGCTCCCCAAAAACAGGATGAAAAGGATGAAAAACTGACCAAGGAGGATATCCTTGACATCATTGGCTTGAGATTTAAGCAGAAAAAGTAACTAAATTGATTAGCTTTAACTGGAAGCTGTGTATGTTTATGTATAAATTGGAAATATAATTGCATTTAATGTGAGTAAAGATATTTTTAAATTGGTTAATAATAAGCAAAATTAATTTCAATATTTTATATCAATTACAAATCAAACGTATTTACAATGCAATTCAGTCGAGGCAAAGATTAATTAAAGCTTTAAATGTTACAGAGTTCAAAGTGCTCCTAACTTCCAGGAAAACCAATTATTGCTGCAATGGTAAAATCCGTAATTATTGGTTAGATATCAAATTAAATGCGTACGAATCGAATGTAATAGTTCCTTGGCTGAATGACAGCTCAAAGGCTGCTCTGGAAACCCCAGCTGGACACACAATCACAGCAATTCTCTGGCACTCAACTAATGTCCTGGGAAACCCAAGCTGGTCAACGCAATTTGCTCTCGAATAGTTTACGACAAGTTATTCGATATTTTATTCTATATTTTTATTGTCAAGTCGAGGGCTTTTGTTGCATATTTCTGCGCTGTGTTCTGTGTGCTGTGAGTGCGTGTTTGCATTTTGTTTTTCTGTTTGCCAACGAACTGTCAATTGATTGTCAAATTATAAAGCGAAAACGGTCAGCTTGCAGGCTCGGTCGAGAGAGAGGGTCCTTTGAAAATGTAAACTGTTTGCTTTGTCGCCACTTGGCAACTGTATGCTGACAGGGGAGGAGAAGAGGGTCCCAGGATCGAACCGAATCGAACCACTTCAGCTGCAAAACTATGCGAAACATTATCCAACACGCACCGCTGACAAAAAAAAAAGAAAACATTTTCGAAGGATCGTCCGGGGGGACCCAAGGACCGAATCAATTTCGGATTTCTGACACACGATATTTTCGCATTGTGTGTGTATGTGTGGCAAATAATGGGGGCGGTGCCATGCCCCACAATGGACAACATTTGGCATAGTAAATTACAAAATACGATACGTCGTATTTGCATTGTCGATAGTTGCTGCCGGGGACAAATCTCGTTAAAACCAAATCACGTAGGAATTTCATTTTCCCGTAGAGTCCCTCTGGAACTCCTCCTCTTTCTATTTTCCCCCCTCGCCCTATTGTAACTTTTCCGGCTGTCGTAATTGCAGACAAATTGTGAAAAGTATTGCCTGACATGGGCGGCACAATACGGGATTTGTTTGGCTTGACAAGGGGCGCTCGAAAGTTTTGTGACAGACGCTTTTAAGCAGAAAATTGTTTGCTCATAACTTTTGACATCACGGCGGGGCCTTCGAAGCCTATCAAGGAATAACAATACCAAAAAAAATATACAAAAAATATATAAAGGGGTAAAAGCCGATGCGAGGTCTCCCACATTGTGTTTTATTTGATCCAATGTGTGTTTGATAACGACAGCCACAACAAAAAATAAAATGAAATAAAATAAAATGTTGCCTTTTCTGCCTCTAATGACTTGGAAACCTAAAGACCCACAAGTCAATGCTGAAATCACTGGTTGACTTTTACACAGAGAAATAATGTTTTGTAGTAATTGAAACATGAACTAGGGAATAGTTTTGACGATTAATTATTTAGATTTTTCGAAAAGGAAATCTATTTGTGCTATTTGGTAAATTTTTAAATGCAAAACTTGCTTATTAGAAACATTTCTTAATATCTGAGTAATGGCATTTCAAAATTTCTTAAATTCCAATATCATTTTTAGTCTAGAAATTGTAAATTACTCTCTTTACTGCCTCTAAGCTCGGTGTAACTTGCCACAGAAGCTAAAAGTTTGCTGTTAGTTGGCGTAATTTTTTTTATGCTGCCACAAATCGTTGACTTTGAGCGTCAGGGATCCCTTTTGGCTTTCATAAACTTTAAGTGAGTCTTCATTGCAGAGCCTGTCCTGTCCGATGGCCATAAATTTCTAGTTGGCTCTATGGCTGCTCGCGGAAGGCCATTAAAAAATTCCTGGTCGCATCGGGTGCAGAGTTGGAGTGTCTGGAGCGCTGTTATGACCACGGGATGATGCGATGTGCGATGCGATGCGATGCGATGCGCATTGCTCATTAACACGAAACTAATTAATTGCGCAATTCAGCTAAACTATCGTGTTGCGATGGGCAGGCATTACAGCTCTTGATTGATCGCCCGACGTCGCCTGCGTGATCTTACAGGGCTAACGAGTTGCGCCCCAAGATGATGGTGCTCCGCCATTGCATTTTAAACGCTAATTTATTGTTAACTGCAACATGTTGCCGGTATGCAAAAATGTTGCCCCGGCATATGCAATTAATTGTAACAAGGCCCGCTAGTCAGGCGGCCAAGCGAGCAGCCTTTAACGAGGCTAAGACAGCGACAAAACACAGCAAAAAACAAGCTACTAAAAGAGGGTCAACATTCAGTTAAGTAAAGGAGTAAAAACTGAAATTATTGGGTTACAAATTGGTACTGAGCACATTTACAAAATAGTGTTTTTTAAAGAAATATTTTTAATGCTTTTCATGCTTCAAATAACTCAAAAATGTTTACATTCTTAGCTGATATCTGGTTCCCCCTAGAAATGTTTTTTTTGTTTACCTTATTTCTGTTTAGAATTCAAGTTTATTATATTTTACAATCCAAATAATGGGTATATAAATGATTGGACTAATAAAAATTCAAATTTTTCAATGCCTATTTTGTAGACAAATATTTTTAATCCAAATCAGCCAACATAACTTTGCTTATTTTATATGACAAGAAACCTGTAAGAAGGGGAGATCACAGCTTTTGATAATTTCAAGATTATCTCTGTATTGTTTTTTAAATAAATATTTTCAAGGCGTTGTTAACTCTTTTGATATTTTTAAACCTATGCAAATTTTGTACCGTTTGATAGACATATCTTCAGGTATTATCCAATGTTTTCTAAAGAAGTTTATAAGCATTTAAAGAAGCAACAATAAATATGCATCTTTAAACACTTTTAAAGAACTATAGCAAACTTAAGTCTGAAAGGAACTTTAGTTTAGTAATCTGGGTTTAGTAATAATAATGAAACAATTCCCATCAATTAGAGCCCTGCTCTCGGCTTTATAACATTTAATAACAATACCTTTAGAAATTTTCTCTCTGCATTGGCAAATGTGAAGAAAACCAAAACTGTAACGGAGACAGGGCATTTGGATTGGCAACACTTTCCAACTGCTCTCGAACGCGTGTTAACCCGCTGCAATTTACGTGTTAATTTGCAGTCGTGTCTCGGCAAATGTTTACCTGCCCCCGCCGAGGAACGAGGGACTTTTTGGCCAATACGAAATGCCGGCAGCCTCACTTTTACCCAAGCGCTGTTTTTCGGCGAAAGTTTTGGCCAAGTAGGAGAGTACTTACCGGGCCAATATGCGAAGGTGGCAGCGTAATGCATGTGTTGCCGGTAATTGCCAGGGGCAGAGGCACTCATTCCAGCTGCTGCTGCTGTTGCTGCTGCTGCAGTGGCATTAGGCCAGGCCAATTCCGGGGGAAAGCAGCCACTTACCAAGTAGCCTTTGCCGGATTGATATTTGGAACGAAGCTGGCCATTAGCCGGGACTGCTGTTTAGCCAATTCCCTCCCTGATGATGACCAGTACAACTCCCTCCCTGATATCAGCCCCGATGAAATGCTAAATCTCATGAATCCACTCAGTCAAAATTCTATGGCAACTATGCAACCATCAATCAGACCAACTCGCAACGAACTATGCGCTAAAATCAATAAATACCCATAAAGTTGTTGGCGAAACTTTGGCAACAGCCATCGCTACAGCTATCTCCCACAATTCTAGCCAAGTGCCAGCATTTATCTATATATATATATATATATATATGTATACATGAACGCCGGATGAATGCTGACAGCCGGCTGTGAGTACTCTCGTAGTTTTTGAATACGAAAATGCTTGCCATAGTTCGGCGAATGTTTCGAAAACTTTTACGCAAAATCCGTACCCCAAAAACGAGATCCAGAAAACCGAGACCAAAAACCGCAGAACGCAGAACGCAAAACGCACAATGATGCTGATGCCGATGCTGCGATGTTGATGCCACGCCCCGGGCTCTGGAGTTATCCAGTTATCCGGGCAACGACTATCTGGCAGCTGGCTCAGCGGAGCTGCAGCTTGTTTGTGGTTGCAAGTATCTATCGGATGCAGGCCCCGATTTTGAGCCCAAGACACTGCACTGAGGGGAAACTGGAGGGTATTATTAAATGGGATTTTGTTAGAACATTGAACTATTTATAAGAGATGTTAAAGCTTTTTTATATACTAGTTTTGAAAGGTAATTAAATACTTCATTTAATTGCATTGAAATCCTATTTTCTTTCTCTGTAAGAGTAGCTAGCTGCACTATAACTTTGCTGTAATTTTTCGGTGGTAAATAGTTGAGAGTTGAGCATGTTGCAAGGCCTGTCGCTGCGGCCAGGCTCACACAGATATTAGGCGCATACAGTTGCAACTTCCACCAACAGCACTCGACAAATCATTGGGCTTTATGACACCGGCAACATATGTTGCCGCTCAAAATATTTAACCGCAGCAAAGCTCTTCGAAAATCAGCAGCCAGCGTTTGATTAATGGCAGCATTCAGTGGCGTACAACTGCAAGAGAGTATCCATCAGATACGTAGTTTGTCAACGACGCTTTCCACCGACATAATCATCAATTAATGCTCTATTAATAGAGGCTTTTCCCCCCTGCATTTCCACCGACCAGCTGGTGTGGAGCAGGGGGCCTAACACTTAGCGACCGACATGTGTTGGTGTCAACTTGATTGAGCTGGGGAGGCCCACAGAAATTTAACAACAAAAAATGTGAAGTGGAGGAGTGGACAATTATGTAGGGATCAGAAAGCAGACACAGGAATGCCCTTTCAGTGACTAAATACTCCGAATATAATTGGAAGAAATTAATAACTCTCCCTTTTCTTGTAATACTTATTCTAATAAATCCAACTTCCTTCTCTTTTATATAACTAAAGGAACCCCTTAAAATGCCTATCTAGATTTCGTTAACCATAGCCCTTTGTCCATTTAATTGCTGCCAAATTATGGAGCCATTAAAAATTCAATTCATGCCCCAGTT